ATATATATATATATATATATATATTATACTGAAAACTTTTATGATTGTATGCGAAAGGTAGCTATAAAGGTATCGGATTTAAGAAAAACTTTCTGTGCGCGAGTTTATAGCGATTCACTTGCATGTCATAGTACTAGGGCATTGGAAGGAGGGCTGTGCCGTTGTGCGATTTACTGTGGCTGGAGTATAATATGTGGCATTTGTACGTCATTTTTCACAACCATCAGGGTCGTTGTGACATCAGGGTTTCATTGTGATGCATGATGGTGCGCCCGTTGATTAAAGCGACAAGCTCACAACTTCTGATGTGTTCTATGGCGGTCTATGCGGATAACTATAGCAGCGTTTCACTCTCACCCCACCCATGTTCACGGCGTAACACCGATCGCACACTTTGACTGAAACTCCTGAAACACTGCAGGTGTATTCGAAAGGCGTGTTTTCGGAGGAGCGGGTGCCGTAGTCGGAGATGTGGGTACCCTAACGCATAGAGGCGATATGAAGGAGGTGGAAGCAATCTCATTGGTCGAGGCTATCCAATTGAACAGGGATATGCTCAAGGAAATATTTACAAACCCAGAGTTCCACGATTGCGAGGTGAGTGCAGGTTGAGACTTTTGTTCAGATGTGGCGCAGATCGGTTATACGTATGACTGGCGACGACATTTGTACTGGCGTGGTAGTACACACTTGCAATTGGTCCGCAGACGACGTGTTAACTACACACACGTCTTCTTTGCACGGAGGGCATTGAGTTGGTTGTTGTCTTTGCCTCCAGCGCAAATCGTAGACAGTTGAAGGGTCGTTGTAGATGTGCACGTGGTGTCTTGGCCTTACACATCTCAATTGTTTCAGTAGCGTATTTCTATCACTGGGTGTAGGTAAAGGTGTGCATAATTGGTCCAAGACTTGCATGTAATGTAACATACGGAGGCAAAGAGACGTTGCTTATCATGTCGAACATTCTTTTATGTTATTCGGTAGGTGGCGATATGGAGATCCGTTGCAACGAAAACCGTCAATCATCATCTGAGAAGGTGTGTCTCACAAAGAGTTTTATTACCTACATGCCGGTCGCCCATGTACTCTCAATCAGATGCACATTGTTTAAGTGGATGTTAAGTTGACTGGCGGTGTTTATCTCAATTGCTACGTAGTGGGGTGAGTGGTAGCCAAGTATCTCCTTTCATTGCTTAGGAATAGGTATGATCTACATCTTTGGTTCATTTGTTATGTCACATTGTTTAGATGGATGTTAAGTTGACTGGCGGTGTTTATCTCATTTGATACGTAGTGGGCTGAGTGGTAATCAAGTATCTCCTTTCACTGCTTAGGATTAGGTATGATCTACATCTATGGTTCATTTGTTATGTGCGCAACCACGTTAACCTCTAACTAAATCATCGTACACAGGGCGCTCCAAGATGTGATAGACGTAGAGGAAGTACGAGAGTGTATAAACGTATCCAACATCATAAAGGGATCAGCGGTAAGTTGCACCTACCGCAAACAATCAGATATTGCCTCACCACCTTAATGTCAGTATGGTTAGCTCAACAATGATAGTATGGTTCGCTTGATGTCTGCAGCAGGGACTCTAGTTATATATCGTCATACAGCCACCCTACCGTACGAACACGACCACCTCGTGTTAAATTCGGATACAAAGCACGTAGCTACCATACCTTGATCACTATTCTCCCAAGAGCAACATTCTATGCAGCCCTCCTGCAAACGTTCTTTATACTGTAGAAGCGCGGTCGCTGGAGATCAGGAACGAGAACTCTGGCACCGAAAATGTACTTTTACAATCATACAATGCAATATTGTATATATAATGTCGCAACTGCAAAGTTATGTGCAATCAATACACCCGTTCATTTCCTAAGTATTTCGTATGATATTTTTTAAAGGAACACGTATGAAACTACTCCAAGAACTGAGTTGTGACCTGTCCTATGTACCCGATGATTACCTCTACTATGTCGAGGGATTGAAAGTGATTTCACTCCAGGAACTGCGCAAAGAACCGCTCTATCTTTATATATGCACAAAATTAGTTATATATGCACAATTCCTATGCACAATTCTCTCTATATATGCACAAAAATTTGTTGAGACATTGTGAATGAAGTTATCCCATGAACTGCGTGAGTTAGTTGCCTGTTCACTCTCCGTACGCCTCTCGACACTATAGTTGCTGTGTGAATATGACTAATATTTATTAATCAATTGCGTACAGCGCATTCGTTCATTGTACACCTCGCTGTGCTATGTATGAAAATATAATTGAAATACTAACCTATCTACTCACTGTACCCTCCTTCACTATTTTGTAGGCGAATGTGAATGAGATCTTCCCAATGAATTGCGGGTCTGAGAATGTTCTGCTGCTCCGAGGCCATGCAACCATCCGTGTAGTGCCTGATGGTGAGACTTTTTTGTCCGATTCATTTATCAGTTCATAATCCCTAACTACATTATATATATATATACTTTAAATACACACACACACACACACACACAACAAATGTATGTATGTATGTATGTATGTATGTATGTATGTATGTATGTAT